TGCTCAGGGGACCACTGCGGAGGCCAGCCCCAGGTCAGGAGGGTGCCCTGTGCAGCAAGTCCGCATGCCCCTCCAAGGTCAGGCTGAGCTGAGGGCCTGGGAGCCGGGCCACGGGCTTGGGGGATGGAGTGCATGGAATGAGGAGTCTCCTGGGGTGCAAGCTCCAGCCAAGGTCCACAGGGCTCCCCCCTCCCAGGTGGAAGTGCCAGCCAGGGTCCCCAAAACGTCCCACCACCCCCTCAGGGCCCAGGGGTCTTCACAGGGCCGTCTCCTTGGAGGACTTGGCCCCCAGCTGCCGGGGAGGCCTGAAGCTGAGCACCTCTTTATACGTGTCACCTGGGGTGGGGTGAGAGTGAGAGAGACAGAGAGTCACGGGAGAAGGAGCCCAATCACCCGTCAGAATTAGCACACACACGCGCACAAATAACAGATATGAGGAATCAACCCCCACAGTTCACGCCACTTCGGACACCAGCGACCCAAGATCAGTGCTGGGCCCAGCCCACGGGGCTCACTCGGAGCAGCAATGAGTCCAAAGAGAGTCCACGCAGGGTGGGGTGGGCGACCTCCCAGGCCCAGACCACTGCCCAGGGCACCAATGCCCCCAAACATCAGGGTCCCAGGTCACGGCTGGGGTGTAGGGGTCAGGGGGGCTTCTCTGTCGCATACCCAGGACTCCGCCCCAGGCCACAGCCACTGTTGGGCCACCCGAGTTTGTCCACAGTGACTATCCACCCTGACGGGGCTCCTGGAACTCAAAACCCTTGCCCCTGAGGTGGCGGGAGGGCTCTGGCCCCACAGCCTGCCTCTGCGGACAGAGCCGTCCTAGGAATGCAAACCTACGTCCCGTCAGGCGAGGAGCTGCTCGGGGTCCCACCGACACCCCGAGTCTCTGGAGCAAGCGCACCTACTTAGGCTTAAATGAGAGGGAGTCCCTCCACTAGCCTCACCAGGTGGCCGTGTCCCCTGAACTGTGTGCCTGCCGTGAGCCATCCAGAGGCGAGGTGGGAAGAGGAAAAAAAACAAAGGCAGGTGGAGGGCCTGCCCTGCTCCCCTCTGGCCGGCCAGTCTGCGAGTGGACAGGTTCTGCTCAGCCCGCCCCAGCCTTTCCCTCTCCCCTGGCTGGTGGGGTGCCAGTTTGGGGGACACGGGCACGCCACAAGCCCCACTCAGGACACACTGCCCCCAGCAGGTGGCCTGTGGGTGTGTCCCCTCGCCTCCTGAGGAGGGGCTGCCCACACCGGGAAGGTCTGTGTGAAGAGGCCACTGCTGCTGAACTGGCTTTTTTCCCCAGGGAAACAGGAAGTGCTGAGGGTTTGTGTCCTGACCCGGGACTCGGCCACAAAAAAGGCCACGTGTCCACCATGGTCTGAAGCAGAACTCTCATGGTTTGTGTGGGCGGGGACCACAGAGAGGATCCAGCCGCTGGCGGTTTTCAGATCTTTTTTTAGCAACAGAAAACTTTCACCAAATCCAACGTATAAGCACAAAACAGCACAGACAAGGGTGGAGTCCCTGCTGGAGGCACCAAGGAACCCAGGGGTCCTGAGGAACATAGTTTGGGAACCGCAACCCATCCAGCCCCAGCCCTGCCCCCTAGTGCAGGACTAAGGCCCTGGGTCCGAGGCAAAGGCAGGATGGGGCGTAGAACACAGTGGCAGCCGTGAACCATGGCTGCGGTAGGGCTAACGCTGCTCTCACACATCCCTGCACCCCCAGGCTGGTCCTGCAACCACCACAAGACGCCACACCCAGCCCTCGTGGCCCGGCCTTCTGCAGTGCAGACGGACACGGCCAGTTCTGCGTGGGCATCAGGACCACAGCGGAGCGAGGCCTGGGGACTGACCGGGCAGGCATCCTGGAACCCAGCTTGAGGCCGAGCAGGCCTAGCTTGACCCTCAGAAATGAGGGGAAGGGCCCTTGGTGTAAGGGGTGACCAGCCCAAAGCCTGAAGGTGCAGAGCAGCTGGGGGGGGAGGGTTGGAACTGCTCAGAGGGGCTGTAGGGGACAGGCAAGGAGGGGTGAGGTACTGGGGCTGGCTGGGGTGGTCTTATCCCACTGGCAGGAAATGAAGGGCAGTTATTCAGCTGAAAGGGGCAAGGAGAGGCAAGATCAAGTTCAAGGGGCATGAGCAGCCCGGCCAGTGTGGTTCAGTGGTTGAGCATCAACTGTGAACCAGGAGGTCATGGTTGGGGGCTTGATGCCCAGCAGGGGGAGTGCGGGAGGCAGCCGATAGATGATTCTCTTTCATCATTGACGTTTCTCTCGCTCTCTCTCCCTCTCCCTTCCTCTCTGAAATCAATAAAAATATTAAAAGAAAAATAAGAGATGTGAGCAGAGGCCTGGAGACAGGTGGGTGTGAAGAGGCTCCGGGTGGCCGGGTCTGTGGCCTGGAGGCGGGACTGGGAGAGGGAAGTGCTCACTCTGCCCTGAGCTGGGAGCTGCCCGTGTGACGTCCACGCTCCCGTGGGTGCCGAGCCGTGGCAGGAGTCCCCACCCTCCCTTCAGTCCTTCAGCTGCAGCCAGAGGTCACCTTGGCCAGGACGCCCCACTGCCCTCTGACCTCCTGCTGTGGTCCTTACCTGGCGAACCCAGGACTCTGAGGCCCGGCCACCTGCATGGGGTTCACGGGGTGCCGCCTCAGGCCCCGCCCAGAGCCCGCCACTCACGCTTCCACTCGTCCAGGGTGCGGTCCACATCATCAAAGGACTCGTCGTACTTCTGGGCCCGGGGCTCCTCCTCCGTGTCGTGCAGCGACTCGAAGTACGGGTGGGTCAGAGCCTCGGCCGCCGTCACCCGCTGCTCTGCGTCTAGCACCAGCATTTTCTCCAGGAGGTTCACCGCTGGGGGGAGGGCGGGTCAGGCTGGGCAGGGAGGGCCCCACGCGCACCCCAGGTCACTGACCCCTCGCTCCCCCAAGTCCTGCCCTACCCAGAGGGCTTGCATTGGTCAGAATGGAGGCAAAATCCTTCTTCTCCAACTCGGGGAGGCCCTTCATGTAGTTCTTCGCCTGTGTGGGCGGGAAGGGTGAGGGGCCAGCTCCCGGGGCACCCCCCCAGACCCCCAGCCCCGCCCACCTCCCCACTGACATCCGTGCTCTGCAGCCTCTGGACAAACTCATCAGGTGGTGTGCCTGTCACCTTCAAGATCTCCTTCAGCTGGTCCAGGTCTCGGCCGAGCTCAGGAGCACCGCGTGGGCCAAAGAGCAGGGCTCCCACCCCGCCCCCAGCAGGACAGTGC